TGCAAATAGGTGAAGCGGTTCGGGCCGTGCTGGGCTCTTGTGTGCCTGGTTGCTGCAGGTGGCAGTCGAGGCTTTGCCATGGCTCCATCCTCCCCACTGAGCCAGGATCCAGCTGCTCCCATCTCCATCCCCTTCCCAGTGCTGGGATCCAGCTGGAATGCCAAAATAATGCATGTCCTGGGTTGGGGTGAGAGCATTTAAATAGGGTCTTGCATTTACTGGACCAGGCAAGAGCTTTGTGGATATTTTGGATTATCACACTTAATCTAGGCTTCCCTTTCGTCGGAGCAAACGATGTGGGCTGATACTCCTGGTATGAAAAACAGGCTCCTGACCTCCTGGAAGCTTGGCAAGAGCAGGCTGCAACGGGGTGAGGATGAGGATGGTGCACAACGTGGTGAGGAGGGCACTGCCTGCCACTGGACTGGTGGAGCGGATCATGCTGCGGGCACCAGCTCTGCAGAGGTGTGGGTAAGTGCTAGAGCCCAACACCTATAATAATTTGCAGTAAGAGACTATTGCAAATTCAAACTTGAAAATCAATCCAGGTAAGGTGGTACTTCTACAGGAGGCATGATCCCAGGAGCGCCGGGCACCTTCAGCCATCAGTCCCGACAACACCATGAGTATTATTGCATAAATACCACCCAAAAGAGAAGGGCAGCAGTTTGCCAGGAGCTATCAAAGTCTGCTTATGAGAAGCAATGGCTTCTGAACTGTTCCTGCTTGTGTCTGGCCAGTGTCGGTGTGCATGCCTGGGAGCCCAGCCCGTGCCATCGTGGTGGGACTGGTGACATTCGGTTCTCCAACCTGGCTCAGACAACTCCAAAAGCAGCAGCTTGGGCTGTCAGGACGTGGCTTGTAAACAAGTTCATTCAATAGGTCATTGGCTTCTTCAGGTGGCCGCTTGGTCACAGTGCGGGAGGTGGCTGCAGGACCTAGTGCTCCTCTGGCCAGAGCCCACCCTGGGATGGAGCTGAGCCGGTGGGCTCCACTGCTGTAAGGGAAACCGGGATGGGTCAGTCACTGTTGGTTGTGCCTGTGTCTCAGAGGGGAGATGCTCCAGGCTGACCCCCAGCACCACTGCTCTGGTGCTCTGCTGCTGCATCTTGGAGCAGTGGGTTTAGGTTGCCGCCTGCACCCGATGTCAAGAGGCCACTTGTTGGCTGGTTACTGACCTGGGACTGAGGAGGGGTGCTCGGCTGATGGCAGACGGGGGGTACCACCTGCAAAGCAAGGCATACTGTGCATCCAGCATCCCAGCACCCACAGGGGACTCGCTCCAAGCCAGCGGGATCAGTAGTGGTTTGGGCAGGGCGTTGGGAAGAGGTAGGTGCTACACTGTGCAGCTGGTTTTAGTTGAGCTAAACACTACTACCAAAACCAACCCACCAGGCCATGAACTGCAGCCCAAGCACAGGTCCCACCACATCCCTCCTCCTCTGCAGCAGTTTCTGCAGTCGGGTCCCCCCACGTTCAGTGGTGCTCACTGTGGCAGGGCACCCACACGTTACCTTCCCGACAGGTCGGTCCCGTGTACCCATGCAGACAGAGGCACTGGCCATTGCGAGCGTTGCAGTAGGAGCTGCTGGGGGCACACTGGCAGGGCAGGCTGCAGC